TATAGGCCGTCGCGCTTTGAAACTCGTAGAAATAATGGTAGTAGGTGTTCCTATACTATGTTACGACTAGAAGTCATGCTAAATCTGCCACCGCTGCATATAGTGGTGGAGAGAGAAGCGCGGCTAGCAGCATATCGACTCAGGAATAATAATGACTGGAGGGGTGGTTCCCACTCCAGGATCAAAGATACATCTATGTCGGAACCAATTCTTGGGATGGTATCCGACAAGATGGTTCCAAAGTTTCACTTCCACAAGCCATTTGAGACTCGAATAGAGGATCAAAGCGAGTGGGAGGAAAGGTTTAATACCCTGGAAAGGTGGAGCCTAGTATGGTTTACAGATGGCTCCAAAATGACCAGAGGGACGGGTGCAGGAATATATGGACTCAGACCCAGATGGAGTGCAAGCTACAGTCTGGGGGAGTTCCCTACTGTATTCCAAGCAGAAATCTTCGCAATAATGGCGTGTCTGGCAGAGAATGTACGTAGAGGTTATAGACGTAAACTCATATATATATTCTCTGATAGTCAAGCTGCAATTAAAGCTTTAGCCGCACACAAGGTAAGTTCAAAACTGGTGTGGGACTGTTTACAAATGCTAACTGAACTGGCCACCAACAATACAGTCAGACTGTGTTGGGTGCCAGGGCACAAAGGCATTTGTGGAAATGAGAAAGCGGATGAACTTGCGAGGAAGGGATCCGAAACAGTGTTCATTGGCCCGGAGCCCTTCTGTGGCACATCTCCCAGTGTGGTCAGGCGGGCTATGGGCAAATGGACAGAGACAGAACATAGGAAATACTGGACTTCAAGGCCAGGACATAGCCATTCCAAGGAGCTTATGGAGTATCCTTCGAATGGAAGAGCGATTGAGTTACTGAGCTTGAATAGAATCCGGCTCAGGAGAGTGACAGGACTCATAACGGGACACTGTCACTTTAAGAAACATCTACATAGACTAAAGCTTGTAGACAGTCCGGTCTGCCGAGGATGTGAATCGGCGGATGAAACTTCTCTGCATATCCTGGGCGAGTGCCCGGGATTTGCACGTAGCAGAATGGCGCTCCTTGGGAGACCCTATTTGGAACCCAAGGAGCTGAGAGAAGTGTCAGCAAGGAAGCTTTTGGACTTTGTAAAAAGGACAAATCTACTTGCTGAATAGGACTATTAGTGGGACGCACAATAGGCCTAATTAGGCCGCAGTGCTATGGGACTTTTAAAGGACCAACCACTAGATGATGAAGATGAAGATGTTACGATACAAAGTCAATACATTTTTGGAAAAAAAATGTTGCTACAAGTTTTCTCCTTGGGTAACCGGCACTATGTATGATGCACAATATTTTGCAGAGTTAATCTCTACAAAGAATTGAAAACTGGTAGTTCATTTGAAATATACAGGGTGTCCCGGTACTTGATACAAAAAAGTTGAGTACAAATAGATGAGGTCAAAATAATATCAGTTCTTCATATAAATTTTCTCATACGGGCCTACGTTAACAAGTTACAGGTCCTCAAAGGTGAAAATTAAAAAGTTATTTATGCAAATTTGGTGATCGGTAACATATGCGTACATCTTGTTTTTGATGTTGTAAAATTCCCGAAATTCATTATGCCCAGAACGCCAGGGACGGGCTATGCTCAATGGTTAACAACCCAGAATTTTTCCATAGATGGCGATCGCAATCTGCCTATATCAAAATTAAGTTCCCTGAAGAATTTGCCAACGATAATACCCTCTTGGTTCAACTCAGTAAAATTGACAGTTTAGGAAATATTTGTGATTTTATGTTACAGTGTACATCAAGCGGCGCCTCCACCATGTTTTGTTTTTAATTTTTAATCGGACGTAACTACTATGATAGGAGCGGACATATTTTTAAAATAAGAGTCTAGAAAATCTTACTGATGTAATGTTCACTAACAAAATTTGACAAACACACTATACACATAACACAAAATAGAAAAACAAAAAAAGAATAAGTAAGTTAAAAAAAGAATTTAAAAGAAATAAAACTATCAAAATACATTTTCAATATGGACACCTTCCACCTCTACATACTACACCTGAGTCTATGAATGTTATTTATTTTTACACGAAAAGCATTTCTGGGGTAACTATATATCTATACTATCACAATAGGGCATTCCATGCCAAATCACTGAGGTCGTGACCAAACCATTTTTAATTTTCCTGTTTTTTTTTATATTAGTTAATACCCAGAGTAGCTTGAATATTTTGGGTAAAAAATTCAAATAACTGTAACTTGGCAAAAACTAAAGATACCATAAACTGTTTTCTTTCGTTTTGAGATATAGTTTTATAAAACAAATATTAAAAATAATATATATTTAGTTTTTTGATTTTTAAACCAAAATAGTACTTTTTGAAAAAAGCAAGGTTTTTTTTCTTCAAAAAAATTATTAAAAAAATTGTCTTTCAATATGCAAATGCATGAGACAGGTTCTAGAGTGTCTAGAGTGGGTTCTTTTTTTGTACTATTTTTTTTAATTTTTTTTTTGTATTTCATTTTTACAGATAATGTACGTTATTAAACCAAATTTTATTATAGAAGCCAATCGCGATGACTACTAAAAATACCATATTTTTAAAACTACTTCTACTAATTATTACATATCTAAATTATTACATAATAACTAAATACATATTCCACTTTTTTTTTCAGTATTAAAAAGTTTGTTTTGCATAATGCCATAATACGTGTTATATTTTTGACCATTTGTATTTAGTAAAAACATTTAAGTATACAGGGTGTCTCAGTTTTAATTTATAATACGGGAGATGATGAAAAAATAATAATACGATCCTGAGCAAAATAACAATTTATTATATTTTCTGAAAATCATGCCAGTGTGAAATATGCCTCTTGCATTTTGTCGATATTTAAACCAGTTTTCAGCTACTCTACGAGAATGAGCAGGAGCCCCATATAATTGCAACCAAATATTCCTCCTTAAGGCTAAAGATCAAGTAAAAATTTTGCTTAAGAAGAAAGCCTAATAAGTTGACTTCTCTTAATAATAATATTATTGATTCGTAGAATGCTACTTTATTTTTATTTAAATTTGTTGAAATTAGCCGAAATATTTCTAACAAGAATTCAAAAAATCCATTAACGCACAGTATCTGGCTAAGGAAAAGAAAAAGAGAAATCCAATTTGCCGTAAAACAAAGACAGATATCGACTAAATGCAAGAGGCATTTTTTGTTCCCATTGGCATGCTTTTTCAAAAAATATAATAAATTATTATTTTGCACAGGACCGTACTATTTTTCTTATAAAATAGTCGAATGAGTTTCCCATAGCTCGCCACTGGTCTTGAGATTACAGTATTTTATAGAAACTTAACCCAATGCAACGTGCACCAAATTTAATTCAAATACTTGGATAGGGTAACGAAGGATTTGACACCTGTAGTTATTAATTCTCTCAAAGACTTATTTTATATCTTAATATAATTTTACTGCAAAAGCATTTGACATTTCCTAATTTAAAGGTTAATTCAGTTTCAGTATGGTAGTAATAAAAAAAAGTGTAACACACGGAATTTTAGTCATTTCATCCACTACATACACTTTCTTTTTATGCTTTTGCTACTAATTATACATTTAACATCGTGTCCATTCTATGATTCTTTTGTTTTTGCATGCAGATTTCCAATTTTTCCAGTCGTCGACTAAGGTAAGGCGCATTATCCATAACTCTCACTGCACCAGGTTCGATGTGAGGTAAGATGATGCAAACAATTTTTCAAATACCCCGGTACCCATATCCTCAAGGTAATCTCTTCATCATGACGAGAACGTATACCTACATTTCTAATTATTTTAAATATCGTAAAATACCCTTCTAAATATGCTTTTCGTCTGCTATTGATATGATAAACACAAAAAAAAGTAATTGTGACTTTATTATATGTATTTTATGTTTATGTAGCATATTATATTGAATTTCGCTTATGGAAACAATCCTATTCAGTTTCAGAGATAAACAAAAAAAAAATATTAAAAGTAAGGAAACCTTATTTAAAAGCTATTAATATGATAAAGGAATTTGTTTAATGATGATACAGTTGATTATTTTTATACACGTGCGCAATGTTTGTCTTTCTATAATTGTATTATTTTTTCACATGTTGTTAAGTTAGATTGATAGAAGATAAAATTTTAAATAAAATATTATAGATACTTATGTTATCATTTGATTTTAAATTTGATACATTATTATCAGAATGGCGGTAGACATCAAAATAAGATTATTATGCAAATATGAAAATATTAGAAATTATGTAGAATCTGAAAAACAACCTCGGTTTTTAAGAAATGTCTGTTCTCTAAATCAGCTGTTTTGAAAAAAGTTAATTTCGGTTTTTTGCCATTTCTTATATTTTAAATGTGCTGTACATATCTTCAATTTTTAAGTATGTAAATATTTTTTTATTGATATTATCTTTTTTATACTCATACTTTTTTTTTAAGGTGTTAAGCTAATTTTCGTAAATCATTACAGTGAAATGTTGTTTAAATACCAAATGCCTAGGTATGCACAACCCACTAAATAAATGTTTGATAGAGTGCACATAATTTTAATTATTAGGCTGCTATCTTCTTCTTATAAAAAAATTTAAGTACTAAATAATTTCATTTTATGAGAAGAAAATTTGGAACAAACTTGAAACTACTTAAAACCTCTAGTTTTAACCCTCAAAGGTCACACCTGGGGAGGGCCACGTTTAAGGTCACACTAGTGCGGTATGGGATTTTGCCATCTATGAACATTTATGTCTTCTTTATTTGTTAACGAAAACAGCGTATTCATAGTGAGGTAAAATTTTCCGAGAAATCGAATGATGAATTAGACTTGAAAAAAAAATTAATTTGTTAATAAAAAATGCGATTGGAAAAACCATTTTTCGAAAAATTATTTTTTTATACCTAACTAATGGCTAGAGAAAAAGTAAAAAAAAAATTGAAGGTCAAAGTCAAATGCAAATGTTTTATTTAAGCAAAATTCATTTTTTTACAATTTAGCGTTAACGTGGATAGCTAAAACCCCATCATCCTCTCCAGAAGAAAGTGAAATAGCTGCGTTGCCACTATCGTCAACAGTAACAGATTTTCCAGTACAACTGCCATTGTCCAAACTTCCGGAAATGACGTCACAATATGTACCAGCTGGAAGAGATGTGGGCAGGGACTGGTTGATGTCTCCGTTTAAGGTGAAAGCCACAAAACCTTTGTCACCACGTCCAAAAGCGATCTGATTGTCGTCGTTGTCCCACCAGTTGGTGACCTCGGTCGTGCCAACTGCGTTCCTGAATTGAACCATGTTGTATATCTGGCGCCATCTGTGTTCACATACCCATCCGTTGCCACAGGATCCATCATCGTTGAAGGACGGTCCGGCGATATTTCCGTTTCCGTCGTTCGGTGGTCCTTGGTCGTTAGAATCGAAGGAGTAACTGGACATGATCCTGGTAGTACCGTATGGGTGGGCCAACATGAAGGCGATGGCCATCTTGTATGGCTTCGGATTCTTGTAGGTGATGATGGAACTGGAACCGGTTCTTTGGTTGTCGTGGTTGTCGATGAACACCACGGCGTCGGTGCCTTCCAGCAGGCCCCATTGGGGACCCCAGGTTTTCAAGTATTTTAAGGCGTTATGACCTTGGAAGGCGTTTCCTATTTCTGTGCCGTATTTGAATTCCAGAACTGTTCCGAAGTCGGTGTACTCGTCCTTACTTATGGCCTCTCCACCTGGAAATGATGACATTCTATTTTATAACACTTTATAATAATTTTTTACATTAATTAAAGTGATGTTTGAAAAACACTTGGGTTTTCTGAAAAACTCTACTTACAATAAAAATGGAACAAAAGGCTATACATTTTTTAAACTGTTATTATCTACCTTGTTTAAGTAAAAAAAGTTTGTATTCATATTCGGCTACCCATATTTCACTAAAGTATCTTAAAAATTGGCAAAAATAAAATAAATACAAATTTGTTGGCCCGTTCTTTTTGATTAAGCAAAACTGTATTAAGGTAAGTTGATTTATGTGTATCAATTTATTTTTTCCCTATGAAACTGCTCTTGAAGTACGAGTAGAGTTTATGGATAGATAGATTTTAAATCAGTTAAAATTGAATGAGCATAACAGATATTGGAACAATTTGCTCAGTCACCAACATGATAAGACTTTTATCGAACTACCATCAAGAAATAAGTGAACTATTCATTAGTCAGAAATCAGTCACGTACAGAGATGTGTATTGTGGCCTGAGAAGACATATAATTGGATTGTATGACGGAAATCCAGAACTCAGTCTGTCTCTGAAATAGGGCGAAAACAGTTTATCATATCCTGGGCGAAAGTGAATATTAGATGAGACCACAGAACATATTTTTTATGGAAACCAATATTTAATCCAGAAGGCACCAGCACTTAACCCATGACGAAATTTCATAAACTGTTGCAAGAGACCAAGGTACCTACTGCAATAGATGCTAACACATGGCACATTACTCCTGAAGACACGACTCACAGAAAAGCACTATCAGAGACTGAGTAAAATTGAAGCATTACTATTATCTGACACGACTTACCAAGATCGATGACTTCTTGGAAGAAGAATGGTCGGGTGCCAGATGCAAAACCATGGTCGGTAGACAAGTCTTTAACGCTGCCATAGATCGCTTGCAGATCAGCAGGCCACATGTGTTTGGCAGCGTCTACTCTAAAACCAGCTACACCCAAGTCTACGCACTGGTCCAAGAACGCCACAATTTTTTGACGAACGTAGTCCTGACTCTGCAGAAGTAAAGAAACATTTCAATTACCAAAAAATTGTATTGTTGGTTTCTTTGTATTTGTAAATATAATTGCATTAATAATGTTTTTTACCTGGTCCAAATCTTTCAGACCCACGAGTTCGCAGTTTCTCACGTTCTCGGCATCATTGTAATTGTTCACAGTACAAGTTGTATGGAAATTGTCAGAGCCATATGGCACGCCTGGGTAACTTTTCGAATCTGGATCACATGTATTTCCTGCGGTGCCTGTACCTCCAATGGCAGCCATGTGGTTGAATACAGCGTCAACATATATTCTGTGGAAATAATACGATTTTCATACGATAATCTCTACGTCTGATTTTTGAAACAATCTCTCTAGTTATGACATTTTAAAAAACGATTTTGGTAATCTATTAAATTATTTATTCTCGCTCTCATAATGTGATGGTAATTTTTTTCTTGTGCAACATATACTTTAGGACCTTTTCCCGGATTCAAGTAATTTTTTTTCTTTATTCTTTTTTATATTCTATTTGTAAGCATTTTTCAAAGCGATAGAAATAAAAAACATGTTTACCTAACTCCAACGGCGTTACATCTGCTGATCATATCAGCTAAAGCTGATTGATCCCCAGATCGAGTGTTCAGTTGGTAGCTGACGGGTTGGTATCTTTCCCACCATGGTCGGTCCCCATTTTGGACGATGACTTCGTTTTCATTTGGTGGAGAAATCTGAAGTCACAGATTGTTCATTTTTGATCAGGATAAATTAAAAAGAATTACATTTAAATAATAAGGATCATGAGAGACTTTACACCAAACAAGAGCTTACGTTGATAATCTTTTAAGAATTGCTTGCTACCTCAGAGAAGTCGATGCAGATATTGAAATTAATAAAATCGAATGGAGGATAAGATACATCGTGCCTGAAGGTAGACAAAAATTTAAGTTGTTGAATCGCGTTAATAAGGGTGGTGTTAATGCTAAAATTAAGATGACCGATAGGTCCCACATACGATAGTATGTGGGACCTATATGAATTTAAGCGATATCTAATGGGATGGATTATCTCAAATTATGTTAAATTTATAAATAGAATTTCTAGTTTTTTTGTAGTTTCCTCAGATTTATTGTTGTCTACGCCTGCTTTGCTATATATTATCCAAAAATGTTCTAAGGGATCGTCTTTATTGTTCACATATTGTCAAGTATTAAAAATCTAGTTACAACCGGATCATTCTCCAAGTTATGTGACCGTGACAGATAGTGTTCACTGAATATTGAGATGTAAAATGTATGATAAAATACGGTATCTAGGGACTGGAACCAAATGTAAAAAATATGCAGGGCATCCTCGGGTTGTTATGTTTGATAAAAAAAGTTTAGTCTAAAATTTACGCCCACGTACAGCCCACTTACTCGTATACGCCGGTCGATACTGATTACGGTTAGCCAACCTGTATTTTTAGATTATTTCTTGCACTGTATACTTTAAAGCAAATATGAATAAAATTATTTTTAAAGATTACTTGCATACATATTTGAATACGACAAAGGTGAAAACAGTTTAGTGAATATCGATGCAAAAGTTGGAAATGCTTTTTTGAATTTAGATCTTGAAAATGAAACCATGTGTATTGTGTATATTAGTTTATGTAACCTAAAATATTTTACCTCGCGTTTGAATATCTTGTATATAGAATTTTGTTCCATAAATTTCATATTGTTAATGAAATAAATGGTGGTGGAAGATTGATAGTTGTAAAGAAGTATATAGGATCAGATATTTTGCGTTTTTTTTTCACTAAATTTTCCAGATATTGGCTTGTTAGCTGCTAAGTGTTATGGTAATTATTTATTTATTGTTGGCAATATGTACATTCCACCATCCGTATAAATGGATATTTTTAAATTAATTTTTGATTTTCTCGAATATCTGCAAGGAGGTAAAGTTATTATTGTAAGCGATTTAAACATTCCCAAATTTTAATAGGTTGGATTATGTTGATACGAAAACTAATTTTTTAATTTATTTTATTACAGCCTTTTTAGTAATGTTCAAAATCAATTTGGGAACATTAATAGATTTAACCATAAGCAATATTACTTATGATGTTATTTGGGATTTTACTCCTTTGGTACTTCACATTTACTATCCAGTGCTAATGATATTAATGAAGACGTTGTTCTTAACCCTAGATTTTTACTTAATTTAAATAAAAATAAATAGAATTCCAAAAAAGCTAATTTTACGTCATTATATGAACTAATGTATATCTGATAAGCAATTTTAAACTGAATTGTATCTGCCTTAGACCAATTTCATAAATAACTTTATAGAATATGTGACGACAATGTGCTTCTGTGTAAAAATTTTGAACACAAATATCCGCAGTCGTTAACTTCTGACATTATAAAGAATATGAAAACAAAGTAAAAGTTTTTCAGGAAATAGAAACAGAAATTTCTACTACCATTAAATAATTGAAAAATAAAATATCATCTAGTCTGTCTTTCATTGTAAAGTTTCAGTTTTACCTGCACCTTCGTGCCAAATATTTAATTTTGCTGTAGAAAAGATTTTTGCAAGTCGTTGGAAAGTGGTCAGAGTTTGTTCTTCTTTAAAAGTGGTAACAAATCTCAAGCCAAAAATTGCAAACCTATATCAATCATTTCAAATCTGTAAAATTGCTGTTTGATAATAAAATAATCTTATCTATCCGCCCATTGATCACCGGGTTTCTTCATACCAAAATAAGTGTGTTAGTGGCTTTTACAAACCTGGATCTAGTGACGGAATATGTTACGCACGTTCTAGTCTAGATAATATAGGACACTTAGAAGTGCTATATACAGATTTTTCAAAGGGTTTTTATATTATGGACCACAATATTTTACTTTATAAACTCAACAACTTTATCAATTTCATTACTTCTTATAACAATAGAATACTATGTCAGTTACAATGGTTTGCTAATATTAATGCTATAAAACTTGAATTTTGCATTTGAACGTTACTTTTCCTATTTCTAATACCGTATTTTGTTCACATTTAAATTTCCCTTTTTACATTTACATGTAAATCAAATTATGTTGGACAATGAAGCGGCATTAATATGATATATTATGAATTATATAAAAAGCACATATATATTATATTAATTTTAGACGTTTACCTGTACTCCAGCAAATCCTTTTGGGCCTAAGAAATTTTCGCACTCGCTGGCGATATCACTCCATTTCCACTCGAATAGATGAACGATGGTGTTCCTACCCGTTTCGAAATTGTTATTCTTCTGAGCTACCGCCACAGTAGCGAAGCTGCATATTACCACCAAAGCAATAGTCGCCTTCATCTTTTTCAGATCGCTCTAAATTGTAGATGTGCGTAAGTCACATATTTATATAAAACCTTCAAGATGCATTTTACTGGTATCTTTGATTATTCTTATTGAAGTTTTTCGTAAACACTTGAAAATCAATTAGTTACTTTTTAATTTGGGGACAGATAGTTATAATCTGATTAGTTTGGAATAAGTGGTTATAGAATATTTGTTTATTTTTCGGTGCTCATTTTTCTAAAAATATTTAATTTGTCACATTCAAAATTGATAATATCAGTTAGATATATAAACACGAATTTAAAAATGCATTATTTGTTTATTTTATTTTAGTCTGAACTTAACAAATTAATATTGATATGTTTTAGTCGTTTTTATTACATTGCATTTGTTGTCAAAAGGGTCTAAACATCTCAAGTTACTCCTTACGTCATTCAAATGATACAATTCACTAAGCCTACTCTATACATACATATTTTGCATTATACTCTTTTTTGTTTGATACCTACATATAAAATCTTCCACTAAGTACAAATCCATGTTTTTTCGCTTGTTACGGACTTCATTTTTCATTGCTAAATAACTGCTTTCTCATGGCTTATTGTTTGATACAGCTGCTTGCTGCTTTCTGTGCTGGGACATGTTCAACTTTACTTTGTTTACTGTCCTCAACAGAATTTTTCCATCAACTAGGTGTCTCTTTCATTCAATGACACTTGGTTAAAAACATTCAAATGAAACGAAAATTAAAAAATGAAATGGTATTTTGCTACTTTAATGATTTCGAAATTCTTACAAAATTTGTATTGCATTTTGCATCGCCTTACGTTAACATTTTTACTCCTAATGGATTGAAAGTTTTCATGTTAGTATATATACAGGATGTCTCACCAGGAATCTCCACTGTCGATATCTCGGAAAGTACCGATCCGATAAATATTTGACAACCTAGCAAAGGCAATAGTAGGGCCAACACAACTAAAATATTTAGAACTTAATGACATTTCCAGTTATACCGGAAGTCGACACTAACTTTCTTATTTTAAACGGGACACCCTATATATTATGGCATTTTCGGATTCTATGTATATGAAATTTGAGGGTCATTTTATTAAATATTCCCCATACTTAGGAGTTATAGATTTTGAAATATTAATTTTTAAAGAAAAAAATTGACAGATAGAGGTCAGCTGGATTTTTGGTATAGTTGTTACGATCTCAACATTTAACTCGTAAATTCTACGGAGTCCATAGACTCCAGAAAAAATTAGCCCTGTGTCGTCTAGATATACTAGGTATATTCCGAGCTGTATTACCATATAATTACCATACCATTGTCAAGTTTTTTATGTTTAAAATCCATTGTAATAAAGCATATCGTAAAGTATCTAAAGATTTATAACTATAATCAGGATAATCGCTTAATTTATCTCGAATCATGTTTAAAGTAGGAACTTTATTTTCTTTACATTAATTACATCTGGTAAAATCGTCAATTTTCTTTAATTTTGTATTTTTCCGTTTCCTCTTTGTACCGTGATCAATCCTTCTTTAATTACGCGATTACTTTTTTGGATATCTTAGTTAATTCGTTAATTCGTTTCCTAACTTTTTTTATCACATTGTTCACTATTTTCAATTTTCAAATATTCATATATAGTGCTGGCAACTGAAATCGGTTTTTTGGATAGTCGGTTAACCGGTTTCGGATAATTCGGATTTTTACGAAATCCGAAAACCGGTTATTCGGTTATTCGATTCTTCAAATATCCGATTATTCAAATAATCGATTATTCGATAATCTACTTAATTTTTTTTATTTTTAGACATCGATTTGTCCGATTGCAATTGACCTTTTTTTTTGGAGATCGATTTCTTCGTAAACAAATTTGACTTCCAGATTTTTGTAAAGATCTTTTTTTTAGACATCAATTTCTCCGGGTCTGTCTTTGTAAAGCACCGATTTTCAGATATCCGGTTTTGGCGATTCAAGTAACGGGTAATTCGAATAACCGGTTTTAGCAACTATTCGACTAACCGGTTTTATCTGAAATCGGTTTTTACAGAACCCGGTTAACCGGTTTCACTTTTTTCCGGTTTTTGCCAGCACTATTCATATATATTTAATATAATACGTCGACTTTTTACGTGTAAATATTTGTTTTTAAACTCTGAGTTTGTTTCGATACTTTTGACAAAAACTGATTCCACTATTTGGGGATTTTCCCGAGTTATTTCGCTATCCCCCGCTTCAAAGAGTCTCCAGAGAGCCACGCTAAATTACTAGATAATTACATATAACATTTATTTTAATAATTATTACCCTTTACTGGCTACAATATGAACAAATAATAATATCAATTAATAAATAATACGTATTATACCAACAACATACCCGGCGGACTAGTACCAATGTCGGACTCACCGAATTGCTATTCGAGTATAAATTACGAGACACATCATGGTCAAAGCATAAGAGGAAATTTCAGGAGAAGTGCGTACGGTCCTGTGCTTTAATATTTTACAGGTTCCAGTTGACATTGTAACAACTATACTTGTAAAGTGGTGCAGTAATGGAATCAGTCAAAAGTCATATATATAGTTTGACACATGGGTTCTAACCCTAATTTTTTATTGCTTTGTTTGTTGTTTTATGGGGCAAATTTAAAAAGCGTGAAAAGTATCTAGATTCTGATGCTACGAGATATTCGGAATCACTGCCATCTCAAAACCTCTATCAACTGGACTACCATGTGTTTCTTGTAAAGTATGGATCTTATGACTATTTATGTTTACTTTTGGGAAGAATTTGCTTTCTAGATTATCGCATTATTTTCATACAAGAACTTTACAAAACAACGTGCATTCTCAGTTTTGTCTGATCGTGAAATGATTTAGGTAATTCGATTTAATCCAATACGTTTTCAGCATACCTGTAGTCTTAGATTGAATCCTATTAGTGAGTAGGTACTTGATAAATATTTGAATAAAAAACAAATAATGGAACACACTTGAGTCTTAACTGAGTAGACTGTATTTAAATGAATTTGAATGATACGAGCCAAAACATTTCTTTATTTTAATAAATGTGCTCTGTCAGTGTTATACTTTGAACACTTGATATAAGCCATGTTCCAGTTAAGAGCCTATTGACCAAACTTGTTGATGATGTTTTATCTGCAAATCTCAACTTAAAAATTAATGTATATTGGGTAAATAATTGCTTACAATGCGAACAGAGCTAATCATCGTTATTTTAAGGGAAGTAGCGTGACGCGTATCGGCATGACAAAAAAATTTCCCATTTTTAATTGTTTTTCTAAACGCTAAGTGATATTGACTTTACTTCTTGTCTTTTATCTCGATCGCTTTATTGCAGAGGTACACTCATATCAGTAACTATTTTAATTAATAACGGTATATTTTAATTAATAACGTAATAATATGCATAAATTAATTTTGAATATTAGCTGTTGTTAAATTTAGTACTTCTAGTAGGGATGTGTTCGCACATCAAAGAAGGGCCATTAGAATTATGTTAAGTTTGAGTTACAGGAGCGACTGTAAACAGCATTTCATTTCTTTAAATATGCTTACTGTTCCCTGTATATATATATTGCAATGCTTACTATATGTCAAACAAAACTTAATAAATTTTTCAACTAGAAATCAACTGCACACTCATAATATTAGAACAAAGAATAATTTAACTACTAACTATTTAAGACTAAGTAAGACTAGAAATGGTACGGGTTATATAGGAATACGTCTTTATAATGCCCTACCAATCCACATAAGGAATCTCAATTCTAATCAATTTAAAAATAGAATAAAAAAATTTCTTTTGAGAAATACATTTTATGATATTGAGCAGTTTTTTGACAGTGACTTTAATCATTTGTGAGTTACGAGCTATTGTATTTGTTTTTAATATTGTTTTATCTGATTTTATTTATTCTGTTACAATCAATGTCAATTTTAATCTGTATTTATATTTTTACTGATTTTAGAATTCTATATGTATCTGTATTTGTAACTGTGTTTTAATTTGAAAATATCAATGTTTCTTTTTTGACGTGTGTAAACACTGTGTAATAACACGAATCAATAAAAATGTAAAAATATAAAATGTAAATGTAGTTTTAGATTTATTTAGCAGAAATTTATTATAGTTATTTTAAATGAGGGTAAATTAGTTATAATTAACATTTTACGTAATATGTAGTAGGTATATTATTTTAAATAAAAATGTCACAATTTTCTTCAAGTGCCATGTCGATATACGTAAAGCAGAAAATAAATAAATAAAAAAAATATATACAAGTGAAGGAAATATAAAAATATATCTAAAGTGGCGTAGTTTGTCATCCTTGCAAGTGCCAGTTAGAATTTAGTTGAGAGAGTTTGCTACTTCAAATCTTGCTGCTTGCTGATCAAATCTATATTTTTAGCTCTAAGATCTTACTCATTTTGTGCGTCTTATGTTTCCCATTTAAGAGTATTATGTTATCCCTCCCTGCTTAAGCGAGCGTTTCACCCCTTAAAAGATGCTTCTAAATGAAGGTAACCGACTAAATTTTTAAAACAAAAACCTACAGCATGAAACTTTTTTTATTTTATAAAGTGTAATTTTCTGAAAATTTACATATATTTTTTTATATTTTTCGGCGTGGTCAGTCAATTGTTATAAACAAAAAAAAATTGTAAAAAAAATTACTCGCCGAATGGCTTTGAAAGCAGTTTTAGATTGTAAAATGGACCAAGGTAAACACATTTTGTCCTTTGACAAAAATTCGAAAAATGCTTCGTTTCCGAGATATGTATTTACAATTTAATGTGAAAAAAGTGATGAAATCGACACACTTTCGGAATTTTTTTCTCAAAAACCACTGAACAGAGTTTAATTCTAAAAAAAGCATAATAATCGGCAGATCTTCTACTATAAGATATATTTTTTGGTATAGGTCAATTATTTTATTGAAGGTCTAAAGCGAGTAAAAAAAAACAGTCTACAAATAGAGAAATTGTTACTCTTGATCAATTGACACATGGATGGAAAATCGAAAATGGTTGTTTGGATTTTAATAATTTCAAAGGAGAAACTGCGTTAGATATGCTTTAAAAAATATTTTTGTTCATGTAGTGGAAAATTGTAACTGTTTGTCATCGAACCTGGAATGCTGTGCAGGCTGTGCGTGCTCGGATGAATGTCAGAATGTTCCAGCCGAAATTGATGATGAAACGCTAATTTCAACTCAAGAACTTGTCGAAAATAACGAAAAACTTATTATTTAAAAATTAAATAAAAAATAAATTAATATACTTTTATTGCTCTTAATATTTTTGTAAAATAAAAATAAAATAATTATCCTATACAATAAATTATCCAATAACTTTTTTATTTTTCGAGACCGCTAGGTCAATTATTATTACTAGGTTAATTTCACGATTTAAAAAGCTTATTTAGTTTAGTTTTGGTATAACTTTCAAGTCAATTTTAGCCATTTATAAAACCAAACATTGAATATTTAAATTTTACCAATTATGTGCAAAAACCTTACTTCGGCTACAAAACCAAACAAAATGAATCTTTTGAACATTTGTACTGTTAATATATATCGCTTTAAAAAAATCATAATAATGTTTATTGTAAATATAATCTAATACAAGATATTGTAAAAAGAAAATTTTAATTTGAAGTGTTATCATAATTTTCTTTAAAATACTTTTTTTTACTCGCTTTAGACCTTCAATAAAATGATTGACCCATACCAAAAAAATATATCTTAAAGTAGAAAATCTGCCGATTATTATATGCTTTTTTAGAATTAAAATCTGTTCAGTAGTTTTTGAGAAAAAAATTCCGAAAGTTTGTCGATTTCGTCACTTTTTTCACATTAAATTATAAATACCTCGGAAACGAAGCATTTTTCGAATTTTTATCAAAGAACAAAAAGTGTTTATTTTGGTCCACTGTTTTCAATGAGTAACTTTTTTGTTTATAGACTGACCGAAAAATATAAAAAAAATATGTAAATTATCAGAAAAATACACATTTTAAAATAAAAAACTGTTTTAACCGAGTATTTTTTTACAACTTTTTTGTTTATAACAATTGACTGACCGAAAAATATAAAAAAAATATGTAAATTATCAAAAAATACACATTTTACAATAAAAAACTGTTTTCAACTAGTATTTTTTTTACAACTTTTTTGTTTAACAATTGACTGACCGAAAAATATAAAAAAATATGTAAATTATCAGAAAAATACACTATAAAATAAAAAAAGTTTCATGGTGTATGTTTTTGTTTTAAAAATTTAGTCGGTTCATGCCTGATGAGTATTTGAAAGAGACAGCACATTGCAAATCGAATTTATGTTCTTTGTTTCTCATTTTTAGATATTTGCCCATTTTTACTCAAATAACTCAATTTTTTAAACATTCATAACGCATTTCTGTGGGTGGTAAATACCAATCTCTATGATACCTTTCAATCCGCCATTTTGAATTTAAGAATTTGCTAATTAAAACCTTAATTGGCGACTTTGAAAACCACCAAGTAACAAGTATCAGCCTTAATCTTAAATTGTGAATGCTTTTTCGGTTCTTACACCCTCCATATTGGATGCGCCATTTTTAATCAGGAATTTGAACTTCAGATTCATAATCAGCAGCTCCAAAAACCCGCATTAAAAGGCAAAAATATGAATAGAAAAATGTGTAAGTTAAGGGGGTAAGTGGGACCCTGGTCTGTAAGTGGGTTCCAACCTTCATTTCGTCAGAAAGAATGCGTCAACAGTAAGCTGGACATATTAGACACCAAAATATTATGGTTGAACTCATCATGTCTTATACGAATGTTGCTGGTTTAAGAAATACAGGGTGTTCAAGGTTTAAATTTTATTCTGAGATTTGTCAATATCTGAGAAACTTTTGATAGCATGACTCTGAAAATTGGTAGTGTTGGATTTTTTAGCGTAAGAATTGCGTATTTGAAGCTTATTTTGACTTTAGGGCCTAGCTTCACCGTATTATTTAGATAAAAAAACATATTTTCTTATCTGTTGAGCTATGCGTAAAAAGTTAAAAATCTAAAAGAACGTTCAATTCTACATAAAAAATTTACTCTTGTTTAGGTCGCCTAACTTTATCGGTTTCTGAGTTATTTGCATTTAAAAGTTTCAATGTATTTAGTGGTGATTTTTTATTCTCAAAAGATGAATATTGTAGTGTCTAGTATCTCCAGCCTAGTGTTGATCTATTCTTTCTGACTTGCCCCGTTTATTTGGTAGTATAAAACACAATGGTACGGTTTTTCACATCGTTTGGCACTCACATTCGTTATTTGATCTTAGGCGTGGAATTAACCGCCTCATAGGGGTGGCTGTGGATTTAATTTGCATAGATTTCTTTCCAGTGCCCAAAATATTATTTTAAAATGTTTTCTCGAAATTATTTACAAGTTGTTGCTTTTCATTATAAAGCTTTACCTTATCTTCACTATTTCACCATATAGTCCTGTAGCCAGGGGGGTCCCAATTGCCTCCTTCATGTAGATGGAGTTGCCCAAGTGTTTTTTGTGTATTTTGAGCTGCAGAAGACGAATTCTTGGGTAGAAGTTTACCCTGATGTCGGTAAGTTTTTTATTAACAAAAAACTTACAAAATACTGAGAACTTATTTTTTGACCCATTTTAAGGAGAAAATGTCTCTTGCAATTTTTTTGTTAAACGCATAGTTTGCGAGATAAACGCCGTTAAAAACTCGAAAAATGCGAATTTTGCGATTTTCAATCGTTAATAACTTTTGATTGAATAGGTATTTTGTAATTCTGCTGACGGCATTTGAAAGTTCACGTTAAATACTACAAATTATGAGTAATTGCAGTGTGAAAATTTTTTCCACTGTTATTTGAAGCTATAAACAAATAGCGATTGAGCGTTCAGAAGGGTGCGCCGCCATGTATGTAAGAGAGCGGTTGCCTTCTTACAGGTGTTTAATACACGATCTTGACGCGTACTCTTCATTTCTAGACCAAAGAAACGATGAAAACTGAACGAAACATTAACGATTTAATGAAAATTTGCAATATTACAATAATTAAAATTATTATACAAAAATAGTTTTTCCGTTTTTGTTTCA